CTCCAGTACAACATAATGTTCAGAAACACTAAGCTGGAACCCTTGGTCTGAAAAGTAATTATGGTACACAGATGAATTCTTGCTAGAACAGGAATATGTAACTGTTACCACTGAAGAACACGTTTACGTTCTCATTAATTCTCAATAGAATCCTTTCAGGTAAGTGAGCATAATTATCTCAGTTGTAAAAATTAGGAAACTAAGGCTTTACAAGGTTAAGATACATCCATTCATCTCTGACACTGGCCCCTATGTTTTCTCTACCACAGTTTCCTGGAGGTGATACATTAACTTTGTTCCTGGAAGTTCCAACTTGGCTCTTATGCATACACTAGTAAATTCAGGAGCAGTAAATAAGGGGTTAAGGCAGATGGCTGAGGGTGGCAGCTGTTGGGCTGCAGTGTGGTTAATAAAAGTGTAATATGGCCAAACAGCAGAATGACCTTCCAGATGACCTGACGGATGAAGCTGAGGCTGCGAGGGCCTACCCTTACATGAATTTTGTGCATTGGCCTCTAGTATGAAAATAAGAAGTCAGTTATAGTAGAATTGCAATTTTCTACTTAAGAAAATACATGCTTATACACCTCACGCACCTACATCCACAGCCATGCACATCCACACTGGTTCTGCACTTTTAGCTCATTGAATTTGTTTTCCAACTATTCTCTCAATATTTAGTTAGTCTTTTGACACTTTCATTGCATTACACCAATATTAAGAGGAAAGGGATTTTACCACATTTATGCCAATGCTTTGCAAGAAAGCCACATCCCCTGGAGACCATTGTGGTGGGGTAGTCATAGTTAAAGTTAGAGAACCTCCAGTACAACATAATGTTCAGAAACACTAAGCTGGAACCCTTGGTCTGAAAAGCAATTATGGTACACAGATGAATTCTTGCTAGAACAGGAATATGTAACTGTTACCACTGAAGAACACATTTACGTTCTCATTAATTCTCAATGGAATCCTTTCAGGTAAGTGAGCATAATTATCTCAGTTGTAAAAATTAGGAAACTAAGGCTTTGCAAGGTTAAGATACATCCATTCATCTCTGACACTGGCCCCTATGTTTTCTCTACCACAGTTTCCTGGAGGTGATACATTAACTTTGTTCCTGGAAGTTCCAACTTGGCTCTCTCCCAGGTAGGAAGGATAATGCCTTTATCAAGCAACAAGAAGGGCTTAACTTCAGGTCTTCATCTTGACTTTAGGACAACAGAGCCTTCTAAGAAGCCACAAATTTTGATTTAGTGCTTCTCCCTCATCTTTAATTCTGATCACCAGGTCTTTGGGAAGGTTCCCTCCCCCACCTTCTGTGTTTTCTGTCACCCTCAGCCAATTTTCTACTGTGCTGTCTCTGCTTTCAAACACTAAGTTGGAGCCCTTGGTCTGAAAAGTAATTACAGTACACAAATGAATTCTTGCTAGAACAGAAACCTGTTCCTGTTCTGCCTTCCAGCCTTTCTACCTTTCCATTTCCTTATTATGAAATACTAGTGACTCAGTGCACGGATTCATGCACATTGAAAGGAAATTAATTAGAAGGTGGCCAGTGGGGCAGGACTGGGCTAGATGGGCTAGACACACCCTGGAGCTAACCTCCCGAGGCCCCTCCCTGGCATCTGCAGAGTGAGCGGGGTCCCTCCAGCAGGTAGGGTCCCTCTGCCTAGCCTGTGGGGATCAGGTCGAAACCGGCTCTCCGACATCCCCTGAGAGGTCCCAAAGTGCAAGAGGGCACTCTGTAAAGTTGCTGTTGTACAGGGTGTGGAACACAAATGCAAGTGTGCAGTAAACCAGATTCAGGGCCGACAGTGCCTCAGCAACAACATAACCCACTACAGAAGGTGAAATCACACGGCCCCCATGAGGAATCGGGCTCCCTCCTCCCTGGTTTCAGGGTGCGTTACATGAGAACCGCTGCTGCCAAGTCACTGCAGCTCGACAGCTCCTGTATTGAGCATCTGCCCCCTGGTGGTCAGTGCACATCATAGTGACCAGTTGAACTGTAGGAGACTTCACATATTTGCCTTTTATATATATAGACTAGAGGCACAGTGCACAAAAATTTGTGCATTCGGGGGGCGGGGGGAGGAGAGGTCCCTCAGCCCAGCCTGTGCACTCTCACAAGTCTGGGACCCCTCTGGAGATAACGACCTGCTGGCTTAGGCCTGCTCCCAGGTGGTAGAGGGCAGGCCTAATCCCTAGGTGCAGCCCCTGGTCGGGCTCAGAGCAGGGCCGATTGGGGAGGTGGTGGCCACAACCCCTGTCATGCACAGAGCAGGGAGATTGGGATGTTGTGATGCCT